TAATGTGAAAAAACAGAAAAGCAGCAAATCTTCATATTTTAGGAGCAGAGGAAAGAGGATTATTTGCATTTTTTGGTGGATGTACGACTTGAACGATTATCAACGTATAGATTATTTTAGCAATCGTTCGTACTCATAAACACTGAGGATCTCTGTGGAGGAGATACCTTCATCTTTGGCCTCAATTATTCATAGAAAAGGACCCTAAACTCACATAAAATATTCCATAAGAAATGTAGTGTTTGTCTTAGGTTCATCATTGAAACAGAGGCTGTACCTTCCCAGGAAGTCGTCTTTATCAGTGTCTTCATCAAACAGCTCAATGTCCAGATTCTTAGCTGTGTTCTCGTATATCAAGGCCTGAAGAAAAGACAAATAAACACGTTCATGTGAGACACACACACACACACACACACACACACACACACACACACTGCTGTTTAAAGTGCTTAAACTATATAACTCTCGTTGACGTTGTGCTGTACGGACTCCGTCAGACCCTCACCTCATACACCTCGTTCCATTTGGGGTGGACGGTCTCGTGGATGACTTTGCTCTGGAAGACCTGGGTCCCGATCCTGATGAACCCGTACGGGTCCGACTTGCCTTTGATGAGCCCTCCGAGGAACTTGTCTTTGCCCAGCAGGTCCTGGGCCTCGATGAAGTGGATCCTCAGGACGCCCTGAGGACACAGACCACAAACAGAGAGCTTAAGATGAGGCTGGACCAGAACGAGGACGGAGGATGAGAAACAGGCCCTCTCTGGAATCATTTTAAATGTCTGGGGTTCATGGAAAAGTGAGGTTTTAACGCAATAAATCAGTACAACGTGAAACCAAGTGTGTGTGTGTGTGTGTGTGTGTGTTACCTTGGGCATGGGGAAGCGGAGCTGGGCCAGCTGGCTCTCCTGAACCAGAGGGATGGTGATGCGGTTGGGGAGGACCATCTGACTGGAGATGATGTCCTGGACGATGTTGTCAAACAAACCACTGAGAAGGATGGAGGGAGGAAGAGGAGGAGGGAGAGAGAGGAAGGAGAAAGTTATAAGAGGATAATAATAATAATAATAAAAAACTTAAAAATAACTGTATTAATATAGTAGGGTATATATTTGGTCAGGTTAATTTTTTGAAATTGACCTTTAGTCTCGTTTAGAACATGCACAAAAGATGCACTTCAGCCTGTTGTGGCCCACATGGGTATTACAACAACAACACTTTTTTCCACCCAAAACAAATAACTAGAGAAAGTGAATGAACCGGTTCCTAACACATGAGAGATGGTTTTAAATAAAGCCAACAGACTTTTCTTTACCAGACATGACAACAGAAACAGGACGTCCTGTAACAATCAAGAGCATTTTTCACTGTTTCCTGACATTTCAGAGACAGAACATAGTGTTAGTTTCAGCTATTTTCTTTACGTTACGATGAAAACTGATGACAGCAGTGGATTATTTAGAGTAATAGGGGACAGGAAATAGATGATGAATTTATGAACAGTAGAAAATAAAATTCATTTTCACTTCTATTGAGGGAAAATCGGGGCCTTTAAAATAAAAACATATGTCTGAACAATTAGAGAGAATAAACCGAAATATAACAACATATATAACCGTCCTTGTTTATTCAGTGTGTACATTATGCACTACGCATCATAAAACACTCCTGTTGTTCCCCCTCATCTCCTCTAGAGGGAAGCACGCCGCTTCACTACAGAAAGAAATTCCCGAATAGAATTTCTGGCCAATGCAAAGTCGAGTTGAGCTGCTTCCTGGTCTGCTGACTCACGAAACACTCAAATCGGGTGAGCTCATGTTTTCCTGCTGCTTCAGGGAAAAATGCAAATAATCACTGAGGAAAAAGTGAGGGGGCCTCACACAGGAAGAGAGAGAGGAGGGTGGGGCGAGAGACACACACACACACACACACACACACACACACACACACACACACACACA